ACTCAGTTTAAATTAATCAGAACAGACCAAATCTAAGCAKTAAGAAAACTAGCACAGAAGACGAAGCATAAAATTAAGGAAATTCTAGAATCTGACTAGCAGAGACGTATTAACTGCTGGAATACCACTTCAGTGTCTAATTAACCAGTTAATCTCAAAACAGAGTTACCAAATTTAATGCTATTAACCATACTAGCAATGTTGTTGGTGATGGTATCTATGATCACACATAAAAGAACCTTAGTTTTTCAGCTGCATTATATATTGTTATATATATTATATATATATTATTATATGTAGATATGTATATGTGTGTGTATATATATATGTATGTGCATATATATAAGTATGTGTTTATATATACACACACACATAAAGAGTGCATGTATGTGTATATATGCATACAGAGAACAGTATGCATATAGAGAACAGTAGATGTGCTTTCTCGGTAAGAGCTTAAAAGTTTACACATGCTTCAACAACACAGAGACAAGCACTTTATACACAAAAAAAAAGGTAATGAGTTAAAAAAAAAGATTTTACAGTTTCTTTAAAATCTAGATCATCTGAAAATATCTGCATTATTACCTACTGCAATCTGCAAGAACAATAAAATAAAGTTATTTGCGATGTATGTTAGAAGATTGATATCTAGGCATTACTGTGAAGTACCTGAGTAGGTTTAACAGCAGTTCTTGCATTAATACAAAAATAATGCAATATTTGTGTCTCCCAACCCAGAATCAGGTATCCTAACACACTGTCTCTACCCATTGCAGGCTGACACTGAAGCAGATGGCATTCAACAGGAAGTTGCACTGGCAAATACTAACTTAGATTCATTAGAGTTAACTACATTTTTGTCAAATGGTGTGAGGTCATATCATCTGAGGGGAAAAATGATCCCCCAAGTCCTCAGCATCTCTTTGTTACTGTCCTGAGCACATGCACACGCGCGCACACACACACACACACACACACGCGCACACACACACACACAGCTTCCTTATCTTGTTATTCCTCCCCATTACGCAAAAGTAATATGAAAGTGTGCAGCAGATTTAAAGCTTGCAAACATACTGTCTGCAATGGTGTCTTTGGGATGTCGTTACAAGGCAGAAGAATTTTATCTGGATATTCAGCTGAGCCAATCTCCATTTACACTGTAGAACATGACTGATTGTCTAGCAGAAATAAAAGTTGCTCTTAAAACATAACTTTTCAATTTCTCGAAATTACTTCAGTGGATGAAATTTACATTTGTCAATGTCCCTGCAAATTTAGAATACTGTAAAAAGAATATACATCTGTTTCATATTTTAAATGATATTCTTTCTCCTTACTATGTCTAAGAGCACTTTTGGAAGGGAGAAACAAAGTGATTTCTTATCTAAGCATCTTTTGACTCATCCTTCATTAATTTGGGTACCTTGAAAACAATATATTTTTTTTTGTGCTCTTCCCTCTCACAGGCATTTTTCATGTGTGGACAAGTCAAAGGCCAATGTGTGTCTTTCATGTTCTTTTTGGATAAGCGCCTTGTGCGGGGTGACTGAGGCCCTTACTAAGCATTGTACAGTACTATTACTACTATTCAAGTGGAAAATACTAGAGGGAATAGTAAGGATGAATGAATGACACAMGGGTCACAGAGCTGATGGCTCCAGACAGATATTAACATTTCATGTTAAACGGACTAATAAATTTTTAAGCAGAAAATAGTCTTCTCTATCACACTATTACAGACCATAGAACCACATCTAATAATTTGAGGATCACAATGGAATAAGAAAAAGATGGATAGTCTCATCTCTTAAGTACACATCAAGATAGAAGGAATTTTTAAATTCTAATCCTGCCCTTTCCATTGATTTGACAAAGGAAGATAACCAATTTGTCTGAGTTTTACTATTTAAAAAATTGGAATACTTACTTATCCTATAAGGATACTGTCTTAATTACTGTCATAATTAATTATGTCTGTAAAATCCTTTCTAAATGAAAAGTGGCTAGCATGAYTTATTAATCAAGTCTAAAACACCACTGAAGAATCAGAGAATGATCCTTGTTTTATCAAGAGCATAAAATTTCCAATAAAGTACATTTTAAAATGGAAATTACAGTAACAGTCTTTTTGTCTTCTTTGGACCCGTTGTGGGAGGGGAGGCGAGCAACAGGCCTTTGATGAGTTCTAGGAATAGGAATCAAGAACAAGAGATACAGAAACACTCACTCGGCTCTCTCGCAGGCTTTAATGTGGCACTAGCTAAAGGGCACTGCATAAATCATGAGGATGTGGGCCCTCGATTCAGTGCTGCTGAATGACCGAGCTGGCAGAGAGCTACATCTCTGACGCACAACGGCACAAGGAGGTCACCTAGGCACAGCCACCCAAACTGCAGAAACTAGACCCAGAACTGCAGTGTTAACAGACTAAAGACCTGTCTTGGTCTGCCTTGGTCCTCTCTTGCCTGTGACAGCAGCTGCGTTCACCGAAGGACTCCTTGCTGGGACAAAAAAAAAAAAAAATTTAGTCAGAGCTCACTAGGACCTGGATGAGCAGTTAGAAACATTCAAAAAAGAAGTGCATTAAGTAACCCGTGAGTTACAGTGATTCAGCACATGTACCGGACAGTCGGTGGCCCAGCTCCTTCCTGGACAGCTCCGCCTACTCTTCAGCCTGTCCTGGCAAGCTCCACACCCTCCATGCCAATAGCTGGAGTTTCAGAGAAGGAAGTGAATCATGCCCTTGGAATGTCACTGAAATCTTCAGATCCATGAAAACAKTTATTCATGTATATATAAATATACACATGTAGATAGCCCACATATTGGCAATTACATATAAATCTCTACATATGAGAAAGAATATCCCAAATCCAGGAGAACTCAGCATAAACTGCCGTTTCAAAGATAAACTGTGGGATTATAAATGAAACAAACACTTCCATATGACTACAAATATAATGCAGCCTGAAACTGAGTCTAATCCAGCTCAGAATAACCACAGCCCTTTGAGGCTACACAGACAGCAGGTCTAAATGGCCGCACTGTAGCAACATGACACTTAATTCAGAAATATCAATTTGCTACAGGAACAAAGACCATAAGGGATTGTCTAGCTTGAGTCAAAATATTTTGTTAAAAAAAATTAAATCTTTAATAAAATAAGCAAGGGTCAGTGCAGTTTGATTTGTTTGTTGGCCAGGGAAAAAAAAAAGCGTGGGGAGATGCCCTGAATTAATTGTGAATTTGTTTACATTTGTGAGTAAAGTCCTCCCCCCGCCCTGCCGTGGAAGGCACGTCACCTCCCGCCGCCCTGTTTCCCAGCTTTCTCCTTTTTTAGCACATCTGCTCAGCCTGCTTCRGTCAAGAGCTGCACAGCCGCCTGGCCTGTGTCCACAGCGGCCGCCAAGCCCCGCTCGCTGCCGGAGCCAGGGCAGCGGCGGCCTGGCCGGCGCGCACGTCAGCCGCGAACGCCGCCTCGCTGCTTTACAGCTGTGCCGTGCTCAGCGGCGGAACGAGCAGCAGGCTGTTCTCCAGCCCTGCGTCACTTCACAACACGGGCTATTTCAGGCCCGGGTGCTCCCCCGTGCAGGGACACCCGCCTCCCTCCAAGGCGTGCCCGCTTTGGGGGGATGGAGGCGGCAGATCGCAYGGCCAGCGAGCGCCAGATAAGCCACCCTGCGCAGCGCCCAGACCTGCTGCCGCCCTTCTGCCGCAGGAAGGTCTCAGGGAAATGAGTGGGGGCCCCCAGCAACCTCCCGCTCTGCCTCTGCGGCCGGGGGGCTCGATGAGCGTGCGCCCCTGCACAGCACGGGCTTCCCCTCCCCTCGCAGATGTGTGCAGCACAGCCATGGCAGCGCGGCACGCTTCACACACGAGCTGCGGGCTCACCCCTCAGCTTTGCTCCTTAACGGAAAGCCATTTCGGGTAATCCCATTGCTCGGTAATAACCTGAAGGATGTATCAGGCTGGAAAGCCTCCCCTAGCTGACTCACTAGTCACTGCATGTAGCTCGTAATTTYAGTGTCAGCGTTAGCCAAGGGCAAGTACAAAAGCCATAATCACAAACATGGGTTTAYGTTTTACTGTGACTTCCTTGAGCAACCATAATCCCACTTACATATGAGACCAACAGACCATCTTTTATTTCATAAATATTTTGTCCACAATCCAGTTTTAGTCACCTGGTCTCAGGCCAAAATTATGTATTTTTTATCTAGAAACATCTCCAGCTTTTCAAGCTCCCTTCACTTCTGCAAGGGCATAGTCCTCTGGCAGGATGTGCAAGACCCTCCTTTAGGAAATGCATATTGACTTTTAAGAGGGAGATTAACTAATGGTTAAGGCAGTAAGGAGACTGCCAAGCCAAACCACCTCTTCACCGGTGCCTGGCACAGTTCCCGCAGGACAGACTTGGCAGCACCCTACCTCCAAGTATCCTCTGAAGACGTGAAGGAGATTTGAAGCCCACAGTCATCATCCTRCCTGGATCTCCACCATACACTGCCATGGATCCCTTCCTGGGGACCAAGAGGGGCATATTTCCTTGCAACCACTCCTTGAATCTCCCACTAGGAGGTAGTTACTGCGTTATGAAGAGCTGAGTGCGACCTTCATCACAGCTTCCCCTCYAAACCAGCTTTCTCGCTGAACATAAATAATATTTTATATAACCGTGCCCCTGAATGAAGACACCTCTCCCCAGACTGTGCTAGATTCATACAGTACTGAGCAAGGCATTAAGACAGGGGGAACAGACCTCCTTATTCCCTAAGTATTCCCATGGGAAAACGGGCATCCGCAGACACCCTGAACACCTCCAACGGACAGGACAAACGACATCGCCACCGCCGCCATCTTCCTCCTCCCTCCCCGCCCGCGCCGCCCGCTAACGGCCGCGCCAGCCCGCCCCTCCCTCGCGCGTCACCCTCGCGCGCGGCCGTTGGTGACGTCAGCGGCGCAGGCGCGCGGCCGTTGGCGGCGGTTGCTCGGACATGGCGCTGTTCGTGAGGGAGCCGCTGGCGGCGCGGGCGCGGCCGCTGCCGCTGCCCCCCGGCGGCGGCTCCGTGCGCGGCCTCCTCCGCGACCGCGCGCGGGCCCTGGTGAGTCGGGGGGACCCGGCGGCGGCGGCGGCGGCGGCGGCGGCAGCTGGAGGGCCCCGCCGGGCGCTCCCTGCCCGCCCCGCGGCCTGGTTCGTTGTTTCGTTGGCCTGTTTCGTTTTCCGGCCGTCGCCTGACTAGACTTTGTTGCTTTCAGAACATTCCCGAAGACAGTTTGTATGTGAAGTGCAATGGACGGCTGGTTGATGCAGAGGATGCGCTGCAGAGCGGAGCTGTGTACAGCCTGGAGCCAAGGCTTTGCGGTGGAAAAGGAGGTTTGTTGCTTTGGTGCTTTATGTTGTTTGGAGCCTTGGTTTAACAAAAATATACCTTAAACTGTATGGACAGTAGCAGTACGTTAGCAGGTTTCWTGTAAATGTGATTAATGAAGTAAAGTATGTGAGTTAAAAACCGTGGTTGACATGTAGAGCTGAGACGTCAGCAAGGAATCTGCAGCTCAGCTAGCAACTGTCGCTGGCAGAGCACTTCCTCCCATCCCTGCTCAGCTTAGCTTTGCTAGCAGAAGTCTCTAACCAAATGACTCTTGTCACCCATTCCATGTTTAAAAGCATCTGCTTCCTCGGGTTCCTAAATTTGGTTCATGGTCACAGGGTAAATATTGCAGGTACAAATAGCCTGTGACTCGAATAAGTTTTATAACTTAAATTACTTTGCACTGAAAAACTCTTATGTGAAAAATTACTGAGATGCCAGGGAATCAGTATTCTAAGAGCTGAAGAGATACCAAAAGAAGGCTACTTGTGTTGTCAAAATACCATAACTGTGTTACAGAGGTAGTATGTTGATACCGAGCATGCGGCCCCAGCCCATTCTGTCAAATGGAACATGCTGGGGAAGCAGGTTTAAGAGAGTAGATAAGTGTGATTGGTATCGCTGATTCTTTCCTTTTTAAATCTAGGTCTCAGAATTTTTCAGCTATTGAGTTAAAATGCTGAATAATCATACAGCTTTGCAGTGGAATGTTGTGCTGGATCTACTGTGTTCTTCTGTGATTAACTTTTTATTTTTGTGTAATAACTCATTGTGGCTGACAGTCAGGATCCCAAATGCTACTTTGGAAGATTAGGATGGTGTTTCTAGATTTCTCCTTTTGCTTCTGTTTGGCAAATTCTTGATTCCTCTSTTGACAGGTTTTGGATCTATGCTGCGGGCACTTGGTGCTCAAATTGAAAAGACAACAAATAGAGAGGCTTGCCGAGATCTCAGTGGAAGGAGACTTCGAGATGTCAACCATGAAAAAGCGTGAGGCACTTTCTTAGAAACTCTCAAAGTAATCTGACCATATCAACAATAGAGGTTGAAGAGAAGGCTGTTGTAGCAGTGAGATTCTATTATTCTTTACACTATTATAAAACAGAGATGTTAAACTCAKATAAACTGGAAATTAAGAGAGTTCTTCTGCTTGTTTTATTACAATTGTCCTCTATTACAAAATAGATGTGATCATATTGCAGCCTGCCTCTGACTAAGTAGTGTGCATCTCTTACCTTTGCCATATCAAAGTCTTAAAATTCTTCAGTGAAAAACTACAAGAATACTGGGGAAACCTGACCTAACTGCGGTTTCTGACTTCCAAAATGAACTTTGCTCTCTACTCTGTAATAGTCTCTGTGAATTTGTGGAGTAAATCCACTGATCAGGTTTTCTTCTTCTTTTCCCATTCTTTTCTTCAAGGTAGTGCAAGCATGCAATAATTGCAAAGTGAAAGATTAAGTTAAATGTTGGCAACCCTCTTACTTTCATGGATCTCTCTTTTTGCAGGATGGCCGAATGGGTGAAGCAACAAGCAGAAAGGGAAGCAGAAAAAGAACAGAGACGCTTGGAAAGGCTGCAGCGGAAACTCGCAGAGCCAAAGCACTTTTTCACAAATCCAAGCTATCAGCAGCAGTGTCATGAGATGGCTGAGCGACTAGAAGATTCTGTCCTTAAAGGTAGTGAAGTTTAACTTCCCTGATTTTTACTCTCCATTAAAAAAAATGTGGAGACTAAGAAACACTTAGTCCAGTATGAAAGTTTAAAAAAAAGAAAAAAAAGAAAAAAGAGAGAGAATTGCCGAGAGACAGTGTTTTGGTTGAATGACATTTTAAATTCCAGTAAAACTTTCTGGAATTGATATTTTTCTCTTTACTACTGCTGCTGTGAAACTGTGAAGTAGTGCTTTGTTGTATTGTGATTTAGTATCTCCCATTAAATGCAAAATTCTGTGGAAGTAGTGGTGCTAGTATGGCAATAAAATTATATGCCATCATTTTCAGGGAAAATACGGTATTTAAACAGGTCTTGCCTAACAACTAGGCAAGAAATAGAAAACGTTTTGTTTTACCTGCTAGTCTTTGTGGKKTTTTTTTGTTTTGCTTTGTTTGTTTGTTTGTTTGTTTGTTTTTAACCTCTGAACTTATTGTTCCCTTGCTGACAAATTGATAAGACTGAATGGAATACAGGATCTGGGATATCAGTTCACAAGTTTAAAAAATTAAGATGACATTTTTAACGCTGTCTTTTTGCTTTAGTAAAGCATGAGAAGAAAGCTCTTGCTGCTACTGAGATTAGTTTGAAGCTTTGAGCTTCCATTAATGTGCAGCAGTAGTAATATTCTCCCCTCCCCCCCAATAAAGTTATTGTTTTGARTTACTTACGAATCTCCTTATAACACATGAAACATGTTTTAACTTTGCTTYGAAGGATTGCAGGCCACCTCCAGCAAAGTAGTTTCACCGGGAACCAGCAACAGTCGAAAGCGGTCAAATGAATCTGTAAAAAAAGGAACAAAATATGGAAAAAAAAGATGTTTTTGGTAAGCACTGTGACTCGGTGAGGTGTTGAGCAGGAGATAAAAGTTAGATATGTGTAAGCATGCAGTCAGTATCTTTATCTGGGGTACAGACTTAAAGAGCAGTACATAAATTGAACCGCTTAAGTTGGAGAACTCAAAGTCAATATTGCTGGTTTTATCTGCTTCTTCCCCAGCTGGATCAAAGAAACCACAGTTACAAAACATGGACAGCTTCTCGCTTCTAATGTGGCTCTATGCTGTTAGCTTCGGTTGTCCTTCTGCTATTAATGAACTAATTAAATTTAGAGTGATTTTTTTTGCACGTGAAATTTATTTTCCGTGTCCTTTTCACCTAGTATAATGTGAAAGAGAAGCCTTAATGATTCCAGTAGTGTTTGRGGTAGCTGTAGGTCTTGCACACTGGGAAACAGTGAAAAGATACCTCTTTTTAAAGGTCGTTGGACTCTACTCAAAATTAGCTGCTCTTCTCTTTAGAATGAAAGCTGCACAAAATAGTTGTTGGAGTAGCTCAGTGCATCTCTAAAGCAAYATTTGGAAAGAGAGAAGTGATGCTTTAAGAAATGGCTGAGTATTTGTGCTGTATTTCTTGTGTCAGGATGGGAACAGAAGAATTGGATGATATAGACAGTTCAGAATGTAGCGACGACAGTGAAGACGATTCCGCTCATGCATCCGGAGGAAGTTGTCCATCAGGCAGCAAGGATAATGAAAATTCTGAAAATCCAAATGAGTGTTCAAGTAGCTCTGTGGATGTGGTGAAGTATCAGTCGGCCACCAATCCTGAAAAACCACCAGAGCATACAGAATACCCGGGAAGAGATCTGCAAGGGGAAGCACACACTGAAACTCCAAGAGGTGAGAACAGTGAAATGGAAAAGACCCTGAAAGAAAATGCCCAGGAAAAGAACAAAATAACCAAAGTGCTGAAAGAAGAGGAGCAAGATGATGTTTCTTCTAAGGCACAGGAAACAAACCAGTTACAGAACACGGTAAGCGTAAAGCAGCTCGAAATATCCTGTGTTTTCTTTCTGTCCCCACAAAAGGAGGTTGGCATTTGTGTCACCTGACTAATTCAGGAGATAGAAGTGCCTGAATTAGCATCACAATCTTCCTAAGCAGTTAATAGTATCTYCAGGCTATGATTCAGAGCTCATAAAACCCTTGGGTTAGAAAGGGGTGGTAGCTCAACTGAAGATGCACTGGCCCTATTCRCAGAAGGGAATATCTTAGTTAAAGGGAACTGCAGCCAGAGAAAGCTCTTGGTTAACAGCATTTTCATTGACCCTTGTTAATATTCCCCATGGCAATAGCCAAACTGTAGCATAGTGGTAGAGTCTTGAGAGATTTTAAGTAGCGTGGATCAAGGGACAGCTTTAAATCTATGACATGAATTGCAGTTTTAATAGCCTAGAGTTTCCCTTGAGGTGCTTGTCCCTCCCCTTCCTCTCCCACCTTTTCTTTCACCTTTGCATAATTAGCATAGGCCTAAAAATATCTATTCAAGGGGAAGGGTGTAAATCAAAAACAGACCAAAGCTCTTCTGTAGTGAGAAAGACTTCTTTCCATCCTTTCTGAGACTTTACCAAGCACTGTCTAACTTTAGTGAAYTTATTTAAAGCATAGTTTGATCTGAATGTTTGTCATAGATCACATTGTTTAAAACAGGAGCTGCTCCAAATAGAAGCCCCCTAAACCAATTGGATGATCACTCTTAGCTTTATATGTGCAAAAGAATTGAATCTGKTTTATAGAGAACCCTGCCAATGTGGCTCGAGCTTCAGTTCTAGCAGCAGCCCCTTCATTAAAGGGACAAAATTAATGGAAGTGAAAGATTCCATACGAGTTTGCAAAGAGTGGTGGAAGGGTAGGTATGAAATCTTTCTGTTGGTTATGAAGGTGTTTTTCTGCTCTTCAGTGCCATGATCTCTGCTGCTCATGCCAGAGCTCCCTCAGCCGTATCCTGAGCTGCACTGACCATAAGGTGTTCCTTTGGTGGTTGGTAGCTGGATGGCTGGGATCACTTTGTTGTTGAAAAGGCTTTGTGTTTGCACCCGGGAGATAGCACAGCTGTTCCCTCCGAGCTGGCAAAAGGCCAGCGAATACTTGGTGGTAAAGCTTGCCAATGCTTGTCCTTAATTGCCCCTTCCTGAATATTACTACTTAAGTTTTGGGGTGTAAATAATCCAGACTCATTCTAAAACGAGTGTCATTGTTTTCATAGTAGAGAGGTGCTTGAGTTTTCTGGCTCTGTTCGAGATGAGCAGAAAATCTCTACCAGGTGCCAGTGACTGAGTTTGGGTAAGTGAAAGGAAAATYTAGTAGAGTTAAAAGGGAGAAAAAAAATCAAGAATGTAAACTGAGAAGTTAGAACTTTGTCCTCTCCTGTACTGCTGGAGCTAGCACCCTTTGGACTGGATGTTTCCCATTCTTCAGTGTTTGCCTTTTGCTTAGTATTTGCGAGACTGTCTATTCTTAGAACAGGAAACTCCACCAATGCTGTGGCAGATTGCCGGTGCAGGTGGAAATATTTTTGTAATAGTCCTTGATGGATTTTGTAAAAGTGGGCCTGGAATAATGAGGTAACCAGTCTTTTGTGTGTGCTTTGAGGGACAAAGGTTCTCATCCTGTTAGCAGGAGTTGCTTTGCCAAGGTCGTAACTGAGCTGTGTCGTTCCTGCTGCTGGTGTTACTTGTTGTAGAGTCCCTCTGATAACTTCAGCATGTTACTTATCAGAAGAATAATAGATGCTTAAGTGTGTAATGCGTGGGCCTGAGCTTGTCCTTTTCTTAGCGGATGTTACTAAATTCCACCATTCTAAGTTGTCCTTGAAGAAATACGGATTAGGACTGTTCTAGTTGACTCAGCTTTGAGGAAGGGCCAGGACTAGACTGTCACCAGAGGTCCTGTCCTCCTTCAGCTTTTGCATGATTCTGTGAATGCATCAATTTCATGTTAGGATTCATTTTTTTCCTTTTTCATGTGTCAAGATGAGATGTAAAATTCTGCTCTGTACAATCTTACTAAAAAGAGGCTGCTTTAGATGTATTTTTATAATTGCAGTGTAAGCGCTTTAGAAACGATAACTGCTCATCCCCTTTCCTACCACAGCTCAGGGCCGTATGGTTACAGTCTACACCTGATTAGAAAGGGACCAATAGCTTTGTCATGATGCCAGGAACCAAGCTTAAGCTACTGAACTGCCAGCTGAATTGATGGCTTATTTATTTCAGTTCAGCTTTTGGGGAGCGCATAACTTCTTTAGGTTTAAAAAATGCCTTTACTATTTCATCTTCAGAGGAAAAGAATTAAAATACTGACACTTAACATCTCTTATTTCAGTCTTTTCTCATTCATGTGTTGGAAGTAGAATGTGTGAATTCTGGTGGGAGAATTTTAAAAATTCAAACAGTGTTTACATCATTTAAAATGGCCAGAGCTTCTGTCTTAGGAGCAGCGTACACAGCAGCCCTGAGGACGTCTGCAGCTTGTCCAGGCTTGTTAGAGCTAACCTTTAATTAACCAGCTAGCGTGGGCACTGCGAGGAGCAAAACACCAGCAGTGCAGCGAAACACGGGGAGGGGTCTGTGGTAAAATGAAGGGGTTTGTCTGTACGTTGTTTCCTTACTGCCTGCCCTTCTTTTCAGATAGAAGAAAACAGTTGTAGTCATGGGATGTTTTTCTCTTTGCAGGAGGTGGAAGGGTTAGACCTCATGGCTTTCAGCACTGCCTCTGAGATGGAAGTGCTGGGATTTGAGAAACTGAAGTTGGAGCTGATGGCTCGAGGACTGAAATGTGGGGGCACTTTACAGGAAAGAGCAACGAGACTTTTCTCAGTAAGAGGTCTGTCTCGAGACCAGATTGATCCTGCCTTATTTGCAAAGCCCTCTAAAGGAAAAAAAAAGTGAATTTACAGTTACTTTGTGTCTGAGTGCTTTTAGATTTTCCTTATTTTCTTGTCATTCTGTATTGCCACCTAGAATTCCTTGGCATCTCTAAGAAGTTTCTGGTTTCTATTTTTAATGAAGTTTGATTAATGTAAAACAGAGTAAGTTGCTAGATAAGTATGTGTTCAGTATTAAAGGAGTGAAATTATTTTCTTTTGATATGCTTTGCAAAAGGTTGTATAGAACAGGCTTAATATGAGGCAAATGAGCTCTCTGTGGGTGGAAAGAAACAACCTGATTGTTTTCTAGAAAATTAATGTGACATTGTCATCACCTATTTTAAGAAAAATAGCAATCCTTTCTTAGCTTTATACAGCATTTCCTTTGATGTTTATTGCAATTAAGGCAGTTGGAACTGTCCAGTGGCAAACAAGAAACTTGATAAAGAGAGCATTTTTATATGGAAAAGGTTAATATAAATAAATGCACTGTTTTCTGATTGCTGTGATGTGTCAGATATCAGTATGGACAGCTATTGGTGTATTTCTTTTGTAAGAAGTTAAATAAAGGAATTTACTTATTTTACTTATCTTGTAAAGTGCCTGAGGGAAGCTCGCTTCTTAAGATTTTAGAAAGAATGAAGCACCTTTAATATGTAGAACGATCATCTAAAGGTGAAAGGTAAGTTTAGAATAGGCTTTAATTTTTATTTTATCCTACCAGTGGTAAAAGCAATGGAATAGTCTCCCAAAGACAGGAATACCCACACCGGTGGTGGAGCCGCCTGTGCGGTGCTGAGGGCTGGAGGGGCAGCGCGCTCGCGTGGCCGTGACTGCAGCTTCCACCTGCCTTGAGAGGCTTGTAACAGTGTTGAACTGCGCGCCCCGGGTTTCGGGGTCTGAACAGAGAAGCTGTTAGCACGGCTGCSTTTTGATCGCTGTCAAAGTCACCTGGCGCCGCAGGGACCTCGCGCCACCAGGTGTCGCTGCGCCGCGGCCTGCGGGGCGCCTGGCGGGAGGCTGCGGGCTCTTCCGAGGCAGGTTTCGGAGCCCTCTTTTGGATAAGCTCCCCTTCTCGGGGACTGCAAAGCACTGCTGTGGGAGGGAGGAAGCGCAGCATTCATCAGGCAGAAGCTGGTGCTGCAGCAAGCTAAAAAACACGTGTGTGCCYTGGTATGTTCTACCCATGACATGACTTGAAGCTTTTTACGTATTTGTAAACATTTTAAGTGATTAGATAAAGTTCTGTAGAAGTACAAAATAATAATATATATATTGGGCACACTTGGTTAAAAGACCCCTTGGGCTACCCAAGTTTCACAGTGGCATTCACAAGTTTAACCTTTGTCAGCATCCTTAGGATTTAAGAGACGGACAGAGAAGTGGCTGCCGTGCTATTAGTTGCACTGTTGTATGTGACTCCAACACCTGCAGGTGTATTGGATGCTGAAAATCCCATCTCCTGGAGTCACRATGGGACAAACTGTCCTCGGGAAGAAGGGAGGCTGTTTTGTGTATTGAACATGTCTCACTAGAGAAGGGGAAGGGAGGGTATTGAGGAGGTCACCTCAGCACAGGAAAGCAGAGGATGCTCCTCTGTAACAGGACAAGGCTCCTATGAAATAAAATAAATGGGATTAGGCCAGTTTAATGGSAGGTGTTGGCAGCACCTCTTGCCTAGGCTGTTTCCCCTCTGGTGCAAGCACTTGTTTCTTTGGGGCACTCACATAGATGTGTGAACCTAGGAATAAAAATACCCGCCTTGCGCCGGAGTTTCTTCCTTTCATATTCCTAATTAAATAACTTCTGTGCTCGCTGCTGTAGGTGSCACTGAGCTCATGGAAGAGGCTGTGTCCTGTTCCTGGCAGTGCTGATGCAAGAGCGCTTCGGCTGAACAAAAACACATGACCGTAAGCCCAGATCCTGCCATGTGGTGCACACACACACACACACACATGCTGTTGCTGCAGGGCTGGGATATTAGATCATGACTGAATGGTGTTAACTTTTCCGGCAACAGTAGAGATTGCAGTTAATCATTTTGATTCAGCTGAAATTCATTCTTACCCAAGATTTCACGAATTTCGCCATTTGAAAGGTATGTTTCTTAACAACTTCCATTCTCAGTAAGGTGCTAGTTTTAAATTCTAAAGGACCCTGTGAAACATTTACCTCAAGATGTCAAGGACAGCGCCCGGGTTAGTTAACACAACTGCTTCACAGCTGCCTTCGCTTTGGGTTCTGGCTGGTTAATTACGGCGACTTTGCGGATTACCATAATTCATGGAGTCAGAGCAGAGGGAGGTGTCAACCAGCCCTATTTCCTGCCCTCTCTCTCGGGGAGGGTTTACCAGGCTCCCTGCATGCGCTGGCACAAGGAACTGCGGCTTTGCCCAACACSTGGAGCATGAAAGGCAGCTGAGACCTCCCAAGGGCTGAGACAGGGCAGAGACAGGGCTGGAAGCAGGCAGTTGCCTGTGGAAAAACAACTGCAACCCAACTGCGTTCATTTGCAGTAAACTGAAAACAAACTCTAAGGGGAATGAAATATAGGTTGGATTTTGAAAGGGAGAGACTTATCTTCACTGAGAACATGAGAAGGAAGAAAAAAAGTAGGCAGAAAAATGCAAATAGAAGTGTCCTTAGAAGAGCTAAACAAAGACTCCCTGACTAAATAATTCTGGAGCCTCCTTCTCCAGGGATACTCAAARCCCACCYGGAYGTGGTSCTGTGCAAGGTGCTCCAGGTGACCCTGCCTGAGCAGGCGGTTGGACYAGGTGATCTCCAGAGGTCCCTGCCGGCCTCAGCCCTTCCACAGTTCCATGTCATTCTGTGGTTCTGTAATTCACAAAACAAGAGGGTATCCGTGGCCTGGTGGCAGCACTTGCAGTCCCCAGGCTCTCCACGAAACTCACTGTTTACTGCCAGGCTAAGGGCCGTTCCTTGGCCATTTTCCACCTGCTGCTTTAGCTCCTGAAGCCCGTGCACTCTCCTACACCTGCTCCRTGTAGGCCCGAAGCAGTGCGGGCACCAGCTGCGAATGCAGCGCTCGTTACAGGAGCCAGTTTCATGCCTCCTGAATGGCAAAACCCAGAGAATACTGAAAGAGACTGGTAAACGGCTCCTAAACACTATCCTAGTCCAGGGGGATCGCACAGCAGTCTGGACGCCTCCCTGCTCCCCATTCTCCGCTTGCCTTGGGCTCCCCTTTCTCAGACTCCGTCTGACCTCCGCCAAGCCGGAGGAGCCTCCCTGGTTATCACCCCAGCTCGATGTGGATTCAGCATCTGACTCTGCTCGCAGCAGTAGCAGCAGGACGCCCAGAAAGGCCGAGTGTCAGACACTCTTCGTAGGAGTTTGTGAAGTGCAAAAGGCTGCGGCGGAAAGAGCGAGAGGAAACAAGGTCTCACCAGCAGCATAAAGGTGCAAGTTATCATGGACTTGGAAGGAAAATGGGAGAACCGCCTTGAGTAAAATAAAAACGTGGAAGGATCAGTCAGGGCAGTCTAATTCAGCTACTGCAGCTCRAAACCTCTCTTCTCGCTCCTGAAGTGTGACGGTAATGGAGAGGGGAGCTTGTACTGCAGTAAAGGGCTGCTGTCCTGCCCGGGTAGGGGCCAGAGAAAAGCTTTCATGAGGCGTAACAGCCGTCCTTGCGTGCAGGGAATGCTTGAGCACGTCCCCCAGCAGTTCCCAGCTCATCCTGCGGGAAGGACGGTGCCAGCGGCTCCGAGCTCACAGCCCTGAGCCCGCTGTCGTGGCTCTGCAAGGAGCCACGCGTGCGCCCAGCTCCAAGCACGGGACCAGGAGGCTGCTGAAGCTCTCAGTGCAAGGCGCACGTTGAAGCAGGTGGCTGTGAGGAAGGGTCAGGATCAGCTTTACCTGGGAGAGGTGCGAAGGGAGGCAGCTCACATCTTTCAGGCCRACAGTTTGGGGTTATTGCCTGCACACTTTATGATAGCACTGCAGCAGCTCTGCTTGAGCAGTTAATTTTTATCACACGCATTCAGAATTATGCACATCACTGGCAAGAACTGTTATTTGTGTGTGTTCATAGGAGCTGGACATCACAGTATCTTCAGTAATATTAGATTTTCCCCCTCCATTTTCAGACATAAGAATAATTATAAGCAAGCACATGTTTTAATATTTACATTTTATTTTCGCTTGAGTTTGAAAGCACATAAGATGAGAACAATATGCCTAAACTGAAGTAAATGTAACACAGGGCCAGAAAAATAAGGCCTGATTATTCTACAAACCTTTACTCATGTGAGTAAATGTAGGTTCTAGCATTCCCATTGAGTTTGGGACTCTCAATTCTGCCTTAMGACTGTGCTAAGCCTGTGGTAGAGGGGACAAAAATATACTCCTTTGAGTTYTAGATGATGTTTTTACGTACATACATATGTATATACAACACATATATACATATATATTCATATGCTGTTTGTGTTTGTGTRTGTGTACAATATATACATGTAAGTGCTTCTGCTTTACAGTTCACAGTAAACAGGACCTGGACAGACATGGCCAAAACTACAAAGCAGCAGGAGCCTAGGATTAGAAGCTGAACCTGTGCATTAGCTCCTCACCTAGCAATGATCCCTGTCGTTCCTCCCTTTGCCTGCAGCTGGTTGCAATGCTCTGGATTGACGTCAATCCAAAGTAGTTCCACCAAATTAAATGGGATTAAGTTTGCCTAGTGTTGGCCCAGGGAAGCATTAGGCTCCATAGGTACATTTTACTGCCCTGCACATGTATGTATTTGAGGCCAGATGCATCTCCGAGCCTGTCTGTAGGGACAGGGCCCTTGACCATGTCCTCTCCAGGCGAACAGGCAGCGTAGGAGAACCTCAAGTTGCGCCAGGGGACATCAAGTTAGRTAACAGGAAAAAAATCTACTTGGAAGGAGTGGTGAAGCATTAGAACAGGCTGCCCAGAGAGGTGGTGGAGCCACCATCCCTGACAGTGTTCAAGAAACGTGTAGGTGAGGCACTTAGGGGCATGGTGGTGGCAGGTTTACAGCTGGACTCGACGATCTTGAAGGTCTTTCCCACCCATAACGATCTATGATTCCAGGTCTTTCCCACCCATAACGATCTATGATTCCACAATTCTCAGCCTGGCTCGTGCCGCCCCTGTGCCGCCAAGGCTGGGGCCGTGGGAGGCTGGGGCAGGGAGGGCCTCGCTGGCCTCCTGCGCGCCTACACCAGGGCCATGCTGTCCGTCAGGCAGCTGCAGCGCTCCACGATCATGCCGGGGAACTCGGCCACCTCGATCTCCGTGTGGTTGCCGCGCTGCACGAGGTACATCATGGGCAGCGCGGAGCTCTCGGCCGCGGCGCAGGCCCGCGGCCCGTAGCCCAGGCGCCGCAGCAGCCCCCCGGGCTGCAGGCAGCCCCCCGCGCACTGGTAGGCCTGGTAGCCCGCCGGCTCGATCACCCAGTACTGCGTCCACGAGAGCTCGCGGAAGTTGATGTAGTGCTTCTGGCGGCAGCACGTGGACCTGCCCCGCGCGCCCTCCTCCT